CTTTCTTAATGCAGAATTGCCTTCTTAATTAGTTCTTCATTTAACCTTTCTCTCTTTAAACAGGATACGTGATTTTACGATTGACTACTGTGTGTGTGTGAGAGAGAGAGGGTGCGTGTGAGAGAGGGTGTGTGTGAGAGAGGGTGTGTGTGTGTTTTAATAAAAATGATTTATGTTTAATATCAAACTTTACCTCAACACATCAGACCGACTAGAAAAACAGTACCAACCAAACCCAGCCTGACACCCAAAACATGAAAGCAGTCCCTGGAACTGGTCCAGATCAGGGTATTTTATCTCAAAATTATTAACTGCTGTTGAAAACTTGAAAAAAGTTCCTATGCATGGCGTTTTTTCCATTACCAACTTGAATCAAACATGCATTTAGAATATAAGTTAAAAATCATGCATTTTTATTTCTGTTTTATTTAATTTTCCGCTTTTTCCGTATAAGTTAAAAATCAAATTGGTATTGGTCTTCCTTTATAATTTTATTTCTGTTTTATTTATGATCATACCTTAAAATGGCTTTTCCGCTTTTTCCGCTTGATTGAAGGATGTAAAAGAAAATTATCAATGAGAATCGACGTCTGCAAACAGGCTTACGAACAAAACAGAAAATAAAGATGTGTTGCTTTGGGACAGAAAATCCCGACTTATTTAGAGAAAATACTAGTAAGCATGCAAACAATTTCAGCATGAATAATTTGAATTAGTTCTTGCAGGTGCGCTGTTTAAACATATTTTCACCATTACATAATAATAACAATAGTGTTGCATGGTATTACAAAAAACTATTCTATAATCTAACCTACATGTACCTTTACATATGTATTTCAAAAAATTAATTTATCAATTCAATCAAATACTCATTGACCTCTCAGAAGTGTTTATCATAGTGACTTACATCTGCTCATAATTTAATCAAACACAAAATATTAGTGACCAATGACAACTTCTATATAAAGATAGCTAAGCAGTTTACTATTTTGCTTCTTCATTGTAACAATTGGTCAGCTTGTATGATGTAAAATTACTCAGCAATTTTAGATCCTCCTTATTGATGTACTGAGTGCTTATGTTAGTCATTCAAGTACGGGACAAAATTAATTATTTAATATTTAGTCATGATAATTATGAATCTTTTTTTTTAATCACGGAATCTAGATTATTTAAACATTTTCATAAGTTTTCTTGATTTTAATTTAAATAGTAGTAGGTCCGCCGGAAGAAATTGGTGGAAATTATTTAAATTGCGTCTTATTCTTTAATGTGATTTTTCTGCTTGTGCTTTTGAAAAGTATTTGAAAATGTTTTCCCAGTAGATTACATCTTTCTTTACATCTTAGATGTTCATTAGTAAAGATATTAAGAGTGAACCATTTATAGAATCTATACATACAAAGGCATGCTATATTACTGCGCAAATTGTGTGTTTATTTTGTATCAAGAGAGAACCATCCCTCAAAAATATACACGACGAATAGAAGCACTGTAATTCTGGAGAAAAAAAATAAATGAGTAAACAGTTTTATAAAACTTGTACTTGTTCCATTTTTACACGCAGGTTGGACCGATGGACCAATGATGGCATTCCTTAACTACAATCCTCTTTCCTGCCACTTATCATCTTACGAACCTTATACTTCCGTTATCCATAATAAGATATCAAATAAGATCTGTAAATAAATAAATATTTTAAAGCCTTAACAATTCAGTTGTCAAACAGTTGTCTGGTAAACAACATAGGTCATTTAAGCAAAGTAAGCTAATTAAATTGTGGACGCTTCAGAGATTCCCTTCGTTTCTTTATATGAAAAATACACGAGGAGTTCTCGAAACTAAACAATGACAAACCAGTCCATTCTGAATTCTACGTTTGTTGGTTTAAACAACACAGGGAATGCTACTAATTATGACTATGGAGAAAATGGCCACGGTGAGTCAGACTCTGGGGGAGATAACTATTACTACTGGCAACAGGATTACCCCTTCTACTCGGAATTTTACGAACACAAGTACGAAATCGCAGGAGAATGGGAAGTTCCAATACGAGGCTATTTAACATTTTTCATAGCTCTAATTACCATATTAACCAACATTTTGCTGATCTCTGTTTTCATCTTCCGAAGTACAAGGTCTCCTACCACCATTGTTTTGACATCACTGGCAATATCAGACTCTATCATATGTGTCACAAAACTACCGGAAGCAATTTATTTCAACATGGCAGAAAACTACAAGAATCTCTACATGACTTACGAATGGTGCAAAGCTAATCACGTGTTGTACATCATTTACCAAATCTGCAGGATGACGTCAAATTGGTTTACAGCTATGCTTGGCGTACAGCGATTGCTTGCTGTAGCGTTGCCTTTCAAATACAGCAAGTTATGTAGTAATGTAGCGACAGCTATAGAAATTGCAGTGATAGCTTTTGTTGCGTTCTTGCTGAATCTCTACGAAGCCTTCGGAATATACATTGCAGAACTTCCAATTTATACCAATTGGTATAAAAATGAGTCTTTACCTTCAAGTTGCATAAGAGATACTTCTCTTGGTTTGATCAAAGCTTTTGGCGATCCTATGAAATCAAAAATGATATTTTTCATTTTTTCCGGTCTGCTTTATCGTGTACTTCCTGTTGTCATCCTCATCTTTACGACTGTGACACTGGCCTTCTTTTTATTAAAACGACGGAAAATGGGCGCTGCTGTTGCTCAAAGAAAAGCGCAGATCCAGAGGATGACTGGATTAATTTTCCTTATTTTGGTAGTATTTCTAATTGCTGAGATACAAGACGGCATTGCTTACTTTATCTATGCAGTTGAGCTTTCTCACAACTCAAAGAGATCGATTCTTTCAAAGGAAGACGACATTATGTGGGACACCATTTCCACGCTTCTGTCTTTAATAAGTTACGCGTGCAATTTCTGGATATTTTTCTTGATGAGTCAACAATTCCGTTCGGCTTTACGGGATATATTTAAGTCTGGAATCCGTAAAGCGCATGTCTATTTGAATCTGGAAGCTTCAGAAGTTGGAAGCAGCTCTAATGTCCAAAGTACAAGCATAACGGGCAAAGATGTTAGAAGTACTCTTGTTTAACTCAATAAGCATGTAAATGCCTATAATCAGTTATTTAGTTTTTGTTTTACTCTTCTGGAATGAAAACTATGGGCCAGTTTTAACATGAACCATTACTGTCAATCCAAATGATTTGTATCTGAATTACATGTGAGAGTCACGTAATCAACAGAGGTCGATCGATTTACTCACACAAACTGAGATCATTGGAACTTATTGCGTATATACTCAAACAATTTATCAATGTAGTATGCGTTTCATAGAGACTTGAGAGATAATGCAATGTGTCATATTGAATCTGTAAAAATATCAATAATAACATGTTTGTCATATTTAAGTTGACTTCATATTGTCTTCGATTTTTAAAAAAAATCTTCTTCACTTTTTAAAATTGCTTTTTGGGGCATTTCTGCTTCTTTGATTGGTTTTCCTACAAAAACCTTACAAAGTCTGGGCTTAAATTTATTGTGGGGAATGATTGTGTATAAAGTTTAAAAGTGGTAAGTTTTTAAACCGTTGATTTTGATAATATCTTGTGATATTAAATTTTCCAAAAGTTCCTTGGAATTTTTGAGCATCCACATCTGACCCGGGGATCCGGGTTAGAATAGGTCCTCAGTACCCCCTTGCTTGTCGTAAAAGGCGACTAAATGGGGCGGTCCTTCGGATGAGACCGTATAAACCGAGGCTCCGTGTCACAGCATGTGTGGCACGATAAAGATCCCTCCCTGCTCAAAGGCCGTAAGTGCCGAGCAAAGGCCTAAATTTGCAGCCCTTCACCGGCAATGGTGACGTCTCCATATCAGTGAAATATTCTGGAGAGGGACGTTAAACAGTATACAATCCATCAATCCACACCACTTTTTGAATATATTGTTGCACAGCACTCTTGAGGTTTTTCCTTCACTACTGTCAATATCTTACTGAGGTGTAAAGAAAGAGGCTTGGTTAAACAATTACTAGACCCCGCAATGTATCTTTGTATGTAAGGATTCTTATGAAGTTTCGGAATCCACTAAATATTTGGTATTTCAAGTACATTTTGTTTTCTTGGGATATTAAAATTATTCAAAACTGACATATGATTTTGAAGAATTTCTTCCTTAGAAAGGGAACTATGAGTATAAGTTGGATTACCGTCGCTGAAAAAATATGAAAGATCAATGACGAGACAACTTCTCAATAAAGATAGCTAAGCAGTGTACTATTTTGCTTCTTCATTGTAACACTTGGTCAATGTATGACGTAAAAATACTCAGCAATTTTAGATCCTCCTTATTGATGTACTGGGTGCATCAGTCATTCAAGTACGGGACAAAATTAATTATTTAATAATATTGAGTTATGATATTAGGATTTTTTTAAATCACGTAATCTAGATTTTTAACTTCGTATCAGTTTTCTTCACTATAATTCAAATATATTCATCCATGTTTCTTTAATTGAAAAACAAATCAAACTTATAGAATATAGACAGCTTTAAAGAAAATCCGGAAGAAATTGAAGTTTGCTTTTGAAGAGTATTTGAAAAATAGTTTCCCAGTAAATTACACCTTTCATTTATATATTCATTTGTAAAGATATTAACAATAAACCATTTAGAATTTATACAAATGCATGCTATACCCTCTTCACATCATCCCACTTCTTTTTAATTTCGTCGACAGTTCTTTTTGAGAATGAGACAGCATTTACAGATTCCAAAATTTCCACCCAGGCTTGCTTTTTCTTTGTATTGCTGATCATGTCACTGAATTTTGAGTTGATGACATCTGAGCGTTCTTTAACTCCTTGAACTAATATTTCAAGTTCTTTTTCACTAAAACGCGACCTCTTTTTTCTATCTTCCATAATTTCAGCGTTAATTGTCAGAATTTATTATCTTATGAACCTCATACTTCCGTTATCATAATAAGATGTCAAATAAGAAATGTAAAAATAAATAAATATCTTAAAGCCTTAACAGTTCAGTTGTCAAACAGTTGTCTGATAAACAACATAGGTCATTTTAGCAACCTAGGCTATTCAAATTGTGGACTGTTTCAAAGATTCCCTACGTTTAATTATATGAAAATACATGAGGAATTTTCGAAACTGAACAATGACAAACCAGCCTATTCCAAATTCTACGTTTGTCGATTTAAACAACACAGGGAATGCTACTAATCATGGCTATGGAGAAAATGACTCCGGTGAGTCAGGCTCCGGGGGAGATCCCTATTACTACATCCAACAGGATTCATGGGATTACTACTCGTATTTGTACCCTCACAAGTACGAAATCGCAGGAGAATGGGAAGTTCCACTACGAGGCTATTTAACATTTTTCATAGCTCTAATAACCATATTAACCAACATTTTGCTGATCTGTGTTTTCATCTTCCACAGTACAAGGTCCCCTACCACCATTGTTTTGACGTCACTGGCAATATCAGACTCTATCATATGTTTCACCAAACTACCGGAAGCAATTTATTTTAACATGGCAGAAAACTACAAGAATCTCTACATGACTTACGAATGGTGCAAAGCTAATCACGTGCTATACGTTATTTACCAAATCTGCAGGATGACGTCAAATTGGTTTACAGCTATGCTGGGCGTGCAACGATTGCTTGCTGTAGCGTTGCCTTTCAAATATAGCAAGTTATGTAGTAATGTAGCAACAGCTGTAGAAATTGCCGCTATAGCTTTAGTTGCGTTCTTACTGAATCTCTACGAAGCCTTCGGAATATACATTGCGGAACTTCCAGTTTATACCAGTTGGCATTATAATGAGTCCTTACCTTCAAGTTGCATAAGAGATACTTCTCTTGGTTTGATCAAAGCTTTTGGCGATCCTACGAAATCAAAAATGATATTTTTCATTTTTTCCGGTCTGCTTTATCGTGTACTTCCGGTTATCATCCTCATCTTTACCACTGTGACACTGGCCTACTTTTTATTAAAACGACGGACAATGGGTGCTGCTGTTGCTCAAAGAAAAGCGCAGATCCAGAGGATGACTGGATTAATTTCCCTTATTTTGGTGGTATTTCTAATTGCTGAGATACAAGATGGCATTGCTTACTTTATCTATGCAGCTGAGCTCTCTCGCAACTCAAAGAGATCGATTCTGTCAAAGGAAGACGACATTATGTGGGACACCATTTCCACGCTTCTGTCTTTAATAAGTTACGCGTGCAATTTCTGGATATTTTTTATGATGAGTCAGCAATTCCGTTCGGCATTACGGGATATATTTAAGTCTGGAATCCGTAAAGCGCATGTCTACTTGAATCTGGAAGCTTCAGAAGATGGAAGCAGCTCTAATGTCCAAAGTACAAGCATAACGGGCAAAGATGTTAGAAGTACTCTTGTTTAACCCTTATAAGCATGTAAATGCCTATACATCAATTATTTAGTTTTCATTTTACTCTTGTGGAAGGAAAACTATGGGCCAGTTTTAACGAGCACCACCATTATCAATCCAAATAATTTACTCCGAATTAAGAGTGGCGTAATTAACAGAGGTCGATCGATTTATATATACTCACACAAACTGAGAACATTGAAACTAAGATCATCTTTTGCGAAGCACAATGTACCTAAATCAAAAGTCAGAATTCTTCCCTGAGCATTGAATGATAAAA